CAGTTCAATCCATACATTACAGCCTATAAATATTCATTGCTGAACATAGGCCTCCCCCAAAGTTTTGCTCCAAGGGGGGGGGATTTCGCCATAGTTGCGACACTTATATGTGGTAGAGCCATGCTGCAGTTATATTAGTAGTATATTGTGGCACGAATGGGTCGACCGGGGAAGGACCACGCTCTCACAGAATATCAGTGTAAAATAGTAGCTTAACGTTGCTGTGTTTTGTGTGGTGAGTGTAGAGAACCGTATACTGTTTTTACAGCAAACGAGGCATTCTATCTTAGTCCTCACGGGTGAAAACGCACCTGCAATTTGATTCTTAATCGAGGATAGATGTAAATGTCTATGTGCCATTAGCAACCACTTATCACCACGATCAGGTGGACTGTGTGACTGTTTGTCACCCTATTCTAAAAAAAACTTTCAGGCGTGTTGACAACCGCAGTCTTTTTGTTTCTCCTCTTTTAGTTTCCCCCTGTCACTGTCTGTATGGGGTAGTGAGATAGTGTGGACCCTGCACAGCAAGTTTGATTTATGTAAAATTATAAATATTTGAATTTCCATAATTCGATCATAAACATAAATATAAAAATAACGATATCTTTCGTATATAAATAATATTTTTTCGACAGAAGGGAAACAATTCTCTCTACGACTGCTCATATCGTTGTTCTATTTGTTTCGGGACTCGAGGTCGTTCGGCATATATTTTATGCTTAGCCATAAAAACTTCAACAGCGTATATAAAATAGGCAATATCAAACGTTCGTACATTTTCCCGCAAAACTATTCCGTAAATATACAAACGGCTTATATTACCTTACCTCATCACCTAAATACATAATTAGCACGTAGATCTAGAACCGAAACAATTATTTGCAGGCTTTGTTTAAATTGGAGGAGCCGTGGTTGCTTAAATGGTTAGCGCTCGCTGTAAATTTCACAGTACGCGAGCAACCCGGGTTCGATCCCCGTAGGCACCAATGAAATTGTTGATTGCAATTTTAAGTGGTGATTTACCACGTGCTCAGCGGTAAAGGAAAACATTGTGAGGAAACCTGCATGCCTGAGAAATAAAAAAATATTTCGAAGACATGTGAAGTTAGCCAACACGCATTGGGCAGCTATATAAGTATTAGATATATATATAAGTACTAGATACTATAGTGGTTTGCGGTTAAATTTTGGGCGTGTGTTTTATTTCATTTATTTTTCATTTATTTATTTTTGTTATATTTAATTTAGTGTATGCTTTCTGTATTCCTTCTCCACATAAACATCAACTACTTAGCACAAACTTAGTACAAACTTGAGACAAGAGTACTTACAACAACAAATACTTAGTACAAACTTTAGATGTATATATTTCATGTATATATGGATATAACATAGTGTTTAAAATGAGAAGAATTCTTTAAATTTACGACACAAAGAATATTACAACATAATATAATGTTATGTCCATTATTAAAACTTTGACAGTCCTATAGCACATTAACTAAGCGTTTAGCCGAAACAGCTGCGGGCCACGAACTCGAATAACACACAGATCAATTCATACAAAGTTAAAAAAGTAAAGGTAAAGTTACAGCCCATATACGTCCGACTGCTAGGCACATGCCTCCTCTCATTTCTGAGAGGGATTTAGGGCAAGGAGGTGTCCGCCGCGCTGCCCAATGCGTGTTGGCTAACTTGTACATGTTTTGTGCTTTCCTAAGTAGCATGTCGTAACAAACCATTATGCTCTATATTTGTATTCACCTATAAGTAAATTTTATTTTTCGTAAACAGTTTGTTTGGTAGTAAAGTTTTTGTGGGACACACTCGTACCAAGTAATATATTGTACAATGTTTTTTTATCATATAGATATCGATGTTGGGATTGAGATATCGATGGATATCGGTGGACTCGATATTGCTTTATTTTTAGAAATAAGTACTAAATACTATAGTGGTTTGGGGTTAAATTTTGAGTGAAAGTTTTATTTCATTTAATTCTTTTCGTTTTAGTACAACTTTACAGTTAATTCAAACAAAGCCATCAATCTAAATGTTGTCTCCAATAATAAACCTAAGAACGTGATCTTGGGATTGAGATATCGGTGGATATCAGGGGACTCGAAATTGCTTTATTTTTAGAAATAAGTACTAGATACTATAGTGGTTTAGGGTTAAATTTTAGACTTATCTTTAATTTCATTTATTTTACATTTATTTATTTTTGTTTCAGTACAACTGTATAGTTAATTCAAATAAAACCATCCATCAAAATATTGTCTCCAATAATAAATCCAAGAACTCGATCTTGGGATTGAGATATCAGTGGATATCAAGGGACTCAAAATTGCTTTATTTTTAGAAATAAGTACTAGATACTACAGTGGTTTGGGGTTAAATTTTGGGCGTGTGTTTTATTTCTATGTATAGATAAACCTATAGCTCCAGTGTATGTGCTAATAGATACAATTTCTGTATCTTATATAAATTCATAATATATCAATTAATCAGGGTTTATTTTAATTATTTTTCATTTATTTCCTTTTGTTTCAGTACAACTGTTCAAGTAATTCAAACCAAGCCATCAATCTAAATATTTTCTCCAATAATAAATCTAAGAATTCGATCTTGGGATTGAGATATCGATCAATATCGGGGGACTCGAGATCGCTTTATTTTTATAAATAAGTACCAGATACTATCGTGGTTTGGGGTTAAATTTTGGGTGAAAGTTTTATTTCGTTTATTTCTTTTTGTTTCAGTACAACTGTACAATTAATTCAAACAAAGCCATCAATCTAAATAATGTCTCCAATAATAAATCTAAGAACTCGATCTTGGAATTTAGATATCGGTGGATATCGGGGGACTCGAGATTGCTTTATTTTTAGAAATAAGTACTAGATACTACAGTGGATTGGGGTTAAATTTTGGGCGCGTGTTTTATTTCTATATATAGATAAATAAACCTATAGATCCAGTGTATGTGCTAATAGATACAATTTCTGTATCTTATATAAATTCATAATATATCAATTAATCAGGGTTTATTTTATTAAAATATATTACAGTCATAAATTAACTTTAAATAATTAGTAAACTTTTCTTATTATGATTTGAAAAATTTTGTAGCCATGTTTAATGGAAAATCATTACATGAAGAATGCCTTACCATCCATCAAAATATTGTCTCCAATAATAAATCCAAGAACTCGATCTTGGGATTGAGATATCAGTGGATATCAAGGGACTCGAGATTGCTTTATTTTTAGAAATAAGTACTAGATACTACAGTGGTTTAGGGTTAAATTTTGGGCGTGTGTTTTATTTTAATTATTTTTCATTTATTTCCTTTTGTTTCAGTACAACTGTTCAAGTAATTCAAACCAAGCCATCAATCTAAATATTTTCTCCAATAATAAACCTAAGAACTCGATCTTGGGATTGAGATATCGATCAATATCGGGGGGATTCGAGATCGCTTTATTTTTATAAATAAGTACCAGATACTATCGTGGTTTGGGGTTAAATTTTGGGTGAAAGTTTTATTTCGTTTATTTCTTTTTGTTTCAGTACAACTGTACAATTATTCAAACAAAGCCATCAATCTAAATAATGTCTCCAATAATAAATCTAAGAACTCGATCTTGGGATTTAGATATCGGTGGATATCGGGGGACTCGAGATTGCTTTATTTTTAGAAATAAGTACTAGATACTACAGTGGATTGGGGTTAAATTTTGGGCGCGTGTTTTATTTCTATATATAGATAATAAACCTATAGATCCAGTGTATGTGCTAATAGATACAATTTCTGTATCTTATATAAATTCATAATATATCAATTAATCAGGGTTTATTTTATTAAAATATATTACAGTCATAAATTAACTTTAAATAATTAGTAAACTTTTCGTATTATGATTTGAAAAATTTTGTAGCCATGTTTAATGGAAAATCATTACATGAAGAATGCCTTATTATTATTATATTTAATGATACTTTAACCAAATTTATCTTAGTCTTTTATCAGTGACCTCTCTTCTGAAGAAAATTCAAGTGCTGTCTTAGGACATTACAGGATTTATATAAGAGGAATACGACGGGAATAAGATAGGGCGGAACGTTGCGATTTTCAATACAGCCTCTTTGATCGTGTCCCGCTAGCAAAGTATTTTTAGATTCACCTCAATATAATGCGAAATACATTTGCTTTACTATCTTAATACAAGCAAAAGGATGAATCTTTTTAAAAACAAATTTTAGTTTACGGACTCTATGAGGTTTTTAAGTGTAAAAGTACAATCCAAAATAGTTTCAAAATGTTTCATAGTCTTGGTATTTAAAATAACTAAACAATAACATTTAAACTTTGCCAATGAGCAAAATTAACGCATTGTACATAATTTTTCGAATTATAATATGCTGGTAAACTCAGAAATACTGCGCATAAAAAATTACAATATTATGACAACAGGCTTGATATTTATCTACTCGTACTACCTCCTTCATCACGTTGTACGTATTAGAGACATGCTGCAGCTATATTATGGTTATAGTACGAATGGATCGGCTCCACCGGAGTAGGACCACGCTCCCACAGAATACCAGCGTGAGATAGCGTCTTAATGCTGCTGTGTTTCACTTGGTGAGTGTAGGGAACCCTTTTTAATGGAAACGAGACCTTCCATCTTAATCCTTAGAAGTGACAAAGCATCTGCGTTTTGATTCTGAAATGAGGATAGATGTAGATGTCTATGGACCACAACATACACTTACCATCAGGTGGACTGTGTGCTCTTTTATATCTCTTATTCCTTAAAAATAATCATCCCGTCACAAGTTCACTGCTAAAACCATTAAATGCGACTCCGCCTTAAACTCAGTATATTTCCTTACGGCAGTCTAATGTCTAAGTCATCACACGAAACTTATGTTTAATTATATTAACGTTTAAACTAATTAAGTCAACTCAATTAAAATTTTCTTTTAAACAGGCGCAACAAGCTTAAGGAACAGCACAAACCACTTAAGCGCAACAAATGGCAAGAAGCGGCCCATTTCCCCTGAACAGGTGCTACGTCTGTTCGGGCAGGGTGGTGCTGCGGCGCTGGGCAAGGCGCTGCCGCCATCCCATCCACCAGCACCAGTGCCCGCTCCGCTGCCGGCCAGACGGCACTCGCCTGCGAGCAGCCCCAGTAGCACAACGCATCATGTAAGTATATACTCCTTATGTCTTTCTATAATCCGAAATAAACGTCAAGTCAAGTCAAGATACGGCCCACATACGTTCCATTACTGGGTACAAAACTCGTCTTATTTCTAAGAGGTTTATGGAGAGGCGGATTTCACACGGCCTCATATTTTTTTAATTCCTCAAACAATTTTAGGTTTCTTCATGATATTTTCCTTTACCGCAATTTCATTTTTGCCGGCCGGAATCGAACACGGATCTCTAATGTACTGTAAAATTTACGACGAACGTTTGGACGCCTGAGCTACCAAAAAGAAGAATATACTGGATTATTTTTACAGAAGTAAGAGTGACAAACGAGAACTCAGTTTGATCTTCCATTGAATAAGAATCAAAATACGGAAGCGTTGTTACGCCTGAGGACTAAGATTAAATTATTCCTTACAAGTAAAAAGGACTCCGGTTTTCTAAACTTACCTTACTAAACACAGCTGAATTATGGTGCTATGTTAAGCTGGAATTCTGTGATAATGCGGTTCTTCGTCCATCGATCTGATTAATTCACGCGCAATACTAAAAGTAATAATGATCGCTTGACTCATTTTACAAAATATGAATGATAAATTTTGAAATAATATAGGTACTCGTACCTACCAGTACTGTAAGATTTTTATCAGTCCTTTTAATGCATGGCTTGATATATCTTTACAAAAATTGTATAAACATAAGGTTTATGTTGGGCTCATACACCCTATTATGTACGAAACAGTACACACACTGATTTTTAGGGTTTCGTAGTTAAACAACAAGGAACCCCGATAGTTTCGCCATGATCGTCCGTGCGTCATTCCGCGGTTTTACTCAGAGAACCTATAGATACTACAAAGCTGTAATTCGGCATAGTTATAGATATTAATCACGCTTACGAATTTTGAAATAAAATGTGCAAAAACATTTTTATTTTGGGGATTTCTCTCACATGTGATTTTTTTACCCCTCTGTGTCATCGTATGGGGTGTCGTTGGATAGGCCTTTTAAAGAGTGTTGTTCCATACCGCAACACTTTTTCGATTCAGGGGTCCGTTTGTGCAATATTTAGCTTTTTTTTATTAGAGTCGTATTCCCCTCCCCTCCCCCTCCCCCTCCCCCTCCCCATGCCCTCCCCTCCCCCTCATCTACCAACTAAACCGCTGTTTTAAGCAATGCATAAAGTACACACAATAGTATTACATATAAAGAAGTTAAAGGGAAAAATATCGTAGCTTTGTAGGTTTAACAAGGTAACTAGCAGTAGTCGACTCTTCTGTTTAATTCTACTTTGTCGTCTCTTATCTGTTACGATACCAATGTGGTAATAGAATTCCTTCCGCCGCGCCGCCACTACGTGACGAGGATGTATAGCAGTGTAATGAAGCAGCGCGGTGAACTTTTTCCGCTTCATTAACCTCGTCTTAGTCTGTGCCCAACAATGGGACGTTTGTTGTGCTGTTATTTTTACGTACAGACTAGTCTGGTAACTTTACCAATGGAAGTTAACTTTGCCATCAGCGATGTACAGGTACAAAATTACGATTAATGCGGACAACTTAACCTTTTTTCGAGATATGCCATTTATGGGTGATAATTTAATAACTGACATGAATTAACAGCATTGTTTTCGATATGCCAACATGGAAGTTATTTTTGGCTTTTTATTTTGACGTCGAATTGTGCCGGCGATTTAACGTTCTTGTTCTGTGCTCCTGAACTTTTGTTGATTATGTTTGAAATACTGAATGTATCTTTGTAGTGACGTAATAATAATGATTGGGAAATGTAATATGTATTTCGTTTTTAACATGGTGGTCCAACATTTTGGTCTATAAAACTGACTTGGCAAAGTTACCATACTAGTGATGGCATGGTGTGACGATTACTTTGCCATGTTTTGTTACAACCATGAGTTGTAACAATCGGTTGGATGGTTTCAAAGTATGTAACGGACATAGGACATTTTTTGCGTTTTATGAAGAAATATTTGTTTCTTATTGCACTAATTTACTATATACGCAACACGTAACATAATTAACGCACTTTGAAAAAAGTAGTTTGTTCAGAATCGTTTACTGAATCGTTTCCTATCATTTTTAATATAGGTATTTTTTATCCTAAAAATAATTAAAACTACGTAAATTACAGTCACACTAAATCTGTATAGTCAAAACAAACTGAAATGGACCGTAACTTAAGACAATAAGACTTTTAAGAGTGAAGTTTTATTTGTATTATTACTAATTCTGTCATTTAATATAAATAAAGAAGAATGAACTTTATTTCAAGCACGTTAAAGTCCATGCGTTCGTGGTTTTGTACTGTGACCACAACATTCTTCCGGAATTAGTATAACTAATTTGATAAATAATCAGTGCATAAAAATGTTTAACTAAAAATTCAGTGTATTGTATTATGATTATAACATAATATACTAATTGGGGTGTCTGAGTGTGCGCGTTAATTACGTTACATATTGTATATTTTAAGAAATTATTGTAAAAAGGTTTAAATAATAAAATTAAGTAAAGTTTTAAAATAAGAAAAAATGTTTGACAACCCTGACACACATTTTCCATTTTGTACGAAAAATTGAAAATGGGGGAGGCAACTTTGCCAAAAGCGTTAATATGTTAAATTAAACGCGATAACGTCCGTAAAATTAGTTTTATTTAATACGTAAATAGTTACTGTGGTTATAATATAGTCTAAGGTAAATAGTAATTAACCGACTTCAAAAAAATGACGAGGTACTCAATTCAACTGTATGTTTTTTTATGTGTGTTACCTCAGAACTTTTTTCTAGACGAACCGATTTTGATGATTCTTTTTTTTATTTGAAAGCTGATGCTTCTAATGTGGTCCCATATAAATTTGACCGATAGTTTTTGAGTTATCCTTAATAATGCGTATAATTAACTCTGACTACATTGATGATGTTTGCATTTTATTTATATTGAAGTCGGTTGTGTAACAATTTTAATTTTACCACTTGTTTGGCTTGTAAGAATTTAGTTTTTGTCAATGTAAATTATTTGCATGCAATGCAATTCAGAAGGCAATTCGTGAGGTACTTATATGTATACGATGACATTTATTATTTATGTTTGATTCGTTTAAAGTAACACAGAGGAAAGCCATGTTACGTTATACGCATCACGAATGAAATTGTTCGATCGGAAAAGGACCATGCTCTTTAAAAAAATAACAGCATTTTATGCAATATAACTTATAATGCCGTATAATTCTAAGGAGTTGATATATTAGGTATTTACATATGAAATTAGCGTTTTGTCGTACTGACCACTTTGATCTGAAATATCTCCACTTTGGTTAAGAATTCCAAATTCAAATTTATAAATTCATTTAGCTGGTACATTTGAGTTTGGAAGAAGTAATTCATTTGTTTTTCCTCATTATTTTTTTCTTTGGCATCACTTATTACAGCACAATGAATAATATGAAATATCGGTATAATTTACGAGTACAAGTTCTATCGTGGCACAAGTGCTGCAGAAACAGCTCTAAGGATTAATAACGTGTACGGCGCTGGTGTTGCAAAAGAAAGCACGGTACGTTTTTGGTTCCAACATTTTCGTTCTGGAAATTCCGACCTTCAGAACCAACCCCGTGGACGGCCGGAGACCAAAGTGGAAAATGAAGAATTAAAGGCTATTGTGGAAGCGGTTCCATTAGAAAGCACTTCAGAGATAGCTGCAGGCTTTGGGATAAGTGATAAAACTGTATTAATTTACTTGAAGCAAATCGGGAAGTAAAAAAACTTGAATGATGGGTACCTCATGAATTGTGTGAATCGAACTTCGAAGTTAGATGAGCTACAATTGGAATGTCTTCGACATCTACCGTACTCCGCGGACCTTGCTCCAACAAATTACCTTTTTTCCCGGAATTAGGACAAATTCTTACATGGAAAAAAATTCAACTCCGATACGGCAGTCCAAACCGCCTTCAAAGACTTTATTGATTCTCGCCCCCACGGTTTTTTAGCAAAGGGATTAATGAACTACCTAAGAGATGGCAAAAGTGCATAGATAGACAACAACGGTGTATACTTTGATTAATTAAATATATTTTACAAAAAAATGATTACTTTATATTCCTTCCGTACAAAACGCCAATTCCATATGTAAGGACCTATATTCTATACCAAGTGTATAGCAGTTCATTCCCGATGGATACAACAACGTGGAGAGATCGTTCATACAGATGATCAGACCACAGGATATGCCATACGCTGACAGATTGCCCAAATGCCTAGCGTGCCAAATCTTCTAAAAGACCTCCAAAAAACTTGAGAGAACCCGGATCTAACGAAGTTTCTATATATGTATATATATATATATATATATATATATATATATATATTCTCTCTCGACTTCGTAAACACAACAGTGTATAATGGCTTGCTAAATACATACGCATTGATATTGTAATATTAAAATATAATTTGCTTTTAAATATATTAAAGTTATGACGCGTACACCTGCTAAACACACAATAATGGAGAGATTGTAACGCGTATGACTTGGTTAGCACAATAGGAAAGAGAAGTTATAATGCGTACTTCCTAAAAATACATAAGCATTTCATTCATTCATTCTCTGTATTAAATCTCTACTTACCTAAGTATCATCAGCAATATCCGGAACTTGTGCAGAAACACTGTCAGGATTCTTATATATTCTTATTTTTTATTACTTATTCTTATTTTTTATTATTTATTATGTACAAAAAACCTGTATGTGTATACAACAATAATAATCGTCGTGACACCACACTGTTCAATGCGAAATAGAAAGACGAAATGAAAATAACTGGCTTGCTTTCTATGAGAGAGAGAGGGGGGGAGGGGGGAGAGAGAGAGAGAGAGACCTACAGACATACACGCGCACGCCCCACGGCTTACAACTATAGCAAAAAGTGTCGTTACAACTATTGGTCTTAATTTTTTCCGTCTAGCCCCCTTTTGCAATGCGCGATATGGAACTTCGTTCCAAAACTTCTTTCCAATAATCAAAGACGACCCCATTCCCCATTTTTCTTCAACAGTCGCAAATCGTTTGATGAATGTTAAGTGAATGAATTCCTGACTTTCACCGAGTTATTACTCAAAAACAAGTGGTAAAATTAAAAATTTTGTACAAACGACTTTAATATAAATAAAACGAGAACATAATTAATGTATTCGAAATCAATTAAATACGCATTATTAAGGATAACTCAAAAACTACTGGTCAGATCTTGATCAAATTTATATGGTACTACACGAAAAGTATCAGCTATCAAATAAAAATAATCATCAAAATATGTTCATCCAGAAAAAGTTCTGAGGTAACACACATCAAAAACATACAGTTGAATTGAGTAACTCCTCTTTTTTGAAGTCGGTTGAAAAATTTAAGTGTCTGTAAACCACCGCACAGCACCGGCTGCGGTTGATGTTTGAAGCAGTTGTTTCATCCCTTTAATTATTCTTGTTCATTCCATTACAACCTGAAGTACACTGTTGAAAATAGGCCTCCCTTTAGATTGTCTCATATTTGCCATCGTTCCCACGCTTGGCAGGTAGGTTGGCAATGGCAGCTTTTATTTTCTAGTTGTTTTGAAGAAGACACTGCTGTCCAGTTCTTGGTTCATTTTCCTCTGTCGCCTTTTATGATAGCCAGGGGACGATACGGGGTAGGAGATATTTTTTTTTATTATTCTTAGAAAAAGGGCTTTGTAGCTGAAGCGATATTGACGCCCTGGTAGTTACAACAAAATAGGGGATATTCTTACATCGCCGTTACACGATCAGTACATTTATTCCAATGCTGATGATGATGTACAAATATATTCTTCAGTATTTTTTTTTATAAAATAACGGTGACAAACGAGCACACAGTCCACCTGATGGTAAGTGGATTCTGTGGTCCATAAATATATACATTTATCCCCGATTAAGAATCAAAACGCGGAGGTGTTGTCACCCCTGAGGACTAAGATGGAATGCCTCGTTTCCAGTATAAGAGGGTCTCCGGTTCTCTGAGTACACTCGCCATACAAAACACAGCAATATATTATATTATAGCCATTCATGCTACAACCATAACATAGCCGCAGCGTGCCTCTACCACGTATAATGAAAAATATAGTAGCACTCTACTGTAAGTTATATCTGAAGAATTTAATATACGAGTGCCCCGTATTCTAATTCACGTTACTCAGGTAGAGACGTTATCTGGCACGAATTCAATCTATTTTTAATTACATTTTCTTCGGTAGAATCTTGCAAGAAATTGCATACGCAGTTTATATATTTAATATTTATCTTGATCAAATTTTGTTCTTGATGCTATGCGAAATTTGTTGTATTGCTTTTGTAATATATTTATTTTTTACTAAATGTGATTAAATTTATTTTAATTTAAATGATGATAAATTTTATCTACAAAATATATTTTTATAAAAAAGAGAACAATATGTTTTGAAAAAAACGGAACTTTTTTAAAACTTAGTAAGGGATTTTTTAAGGGAGTTAATGGTTGTTTGTCATGCAGTGTGTGGTCTTGCGTTGTCGTGAAGCAGCAGTGGTCTAGAGCGATTGATCAATCTCGGTTGTTTAGTAGTTAGTTCTTTCTTCACGATATCTGCCGTAATCGTTTGGCCAGATTTTAGAAAGCTGTAGTAAACGACATCGGCGCTAAGCCACCGAACACCCACAAGTAACTTTTTCTGAGTCAATTTTCGTTTAGGGCGACGAGTGCTTCCGATTATCGTACAATATCCACTTTTCATTACAAGTCGATTTAAAATCCCTTCATTTTTGTGTCGGTTGAGAAAAGTAACCCAGCAGTCGATGCGTGTTTGTAAATTCGATTCACTCAATTCATGAGGTACCCCTCGTTCAAGTTTTTTTACTTTCCGGGTTTGCTTCAAGTATATTAATACCGTTTTATCACTTACCCTGAAGCCTGTAGCTATCTCTGAAGTGCTTTGTGATGGATCCGCTTCCGCAATAGCCTTTAATTCTTCATTTTATACTTTGGTCTCCGGTCGTCCACGGGGTTGGTTCTGAAAGTCGAGTTCCAGAACGAAAACGTTGAAACCAAAAACGTACCGCATTTCCTTTGCGACACCAGCGCTGTACACATCATTAATCCTTCGAGCTGTTTCTGCAGCACTGGTGGCACGATAGAACTCGTAATTCGTAAATATACCGATATTTCATATTTTCCATTGTGCGGTAATAAGCGACGCCAAAGAAAAAAATAATAAGAAAAAAACAAATGAATGACTGTTTTGAAAACTAAAAGGTACCAGCTAAATTAATTTATAAATTTGAATTTGGAACTCTAAACCAAAGTGGTCAGTACGACAAAACGCTAATTTCATAAGTAAGGACCCAATAAATTAACATATTATGTAGGGCCATTATATCTTAATTATATAAATTATTTAAGTAATTATATAAAAAGAGAAAAAAAACGTTAAAAATTATAAAATAGAGCAATAATAATAATGTTAATGTGATAAAAATAAAAAAAACATTAAAAAATAAAAAATATATATAATGCCTAAATATAATAAAAAAATGATAACGTTACAAGAAAAAAATAACAATTAAATAAAAATATATAACAAATGTTAACTCACTGCTTAGGCTTAAGTTAACTAAATAGTATAAGTAGCGTAATGAGTACAATGTAACAAAAATAAAAAAGTTAATAAAGCAAAAAAAGGTATGTACCTCGAGTCTGTAGTGTTGAATTATTCTATAAACAAATGCATTCGTCGTCTTCAGTTTTTTTAAGTTATTTTAAGTTTGGGCTACAGTAACCACTTACCTTCAAGTGGACCAGTAGCCCGTTTATCAAGGTTTTAATATTTTAAAAAATCTGGGAAAATATTGTCTTAGGTGTGTAACTGACAAACATTTTATATTGATTTTTGGTCAGTGGCTATGCATGGCAACGAAATCTGGAAAATGCTTTCGGGCATCACACACAGCCTGTTCAAGTCATCGAAAAGATGGTATCTACCTCGCTTAATATGTGTAGTTACGAGAATTTGGTTAAAGTAGTAAAATACGAGGGGATCGCCTACGATATCTTGCTTGAACTAGTTGTTTATGATGGACACGATGTCAACAGAAGACGATGTTGAAGACTAGTGTAAATAGAGGAGAACGAGCAGTAAAAGGGACCCTGGCTTAAGTCGAGATATAAACCAGAACGTATTTTAAACATGAAGTTTATCCATTTTTGTAGCATAAGGGTGACTAACGAGTATACAGTCCATCTGTTGGTAAGTGTATGTGTGACATCTTCATCTATCCTCGATTAAAAATCAAAATGCAGATGCGTAGTCACCCCTGATGACTAAGATGGAATGTCTCGTTTTTCTCGATCTCTCGATGTCTCGATACTCTACACTCACCATACCAAATACAGCAGCAATGTGCTGCTATTTCACGCTGATATTCTGTGAGAGCGTTGTTCTTCCCCGGTCGAGCCGACCCATTCATGCTACAACCATAATATAGCTGCAACATGGCTCTTACCACGTAAAACTATATTACAGGAAAATTTTAGTAAAATAAATGCATGGATTTTTGAATTAAGAATTGCTGAAGTCAACCAAACACATTTATTTTAATAAATAGTACAACGTGTGAACATTACAGTGTAACTAGAGCGGGCCGACATACATGTAAATAATTCTAGGGTGAGGCGTCCGTCGATATCACTACTTTATTCATGACCGTTGCGGTAAGCGTTTAGAAACGAAAGGAATGGACATGACCGCAATTATTTGTTGCAACTTGTCAGGCTCAAGTCGGAAAAGTTTACGTTGTTTCTACGTTTTGTTTCTTTTACAAGATAACATTTTTTTACGTACTAAACATGGGTTTATAATTTTAGTTTTAAATTGGCTTGTCAATATTATGCTCAATGGTTGGCGGTATCGCGTGTGGAAATGTGATATTGTCACTCACACTCACAGTTGCTGTCGGGTTGCGGTGTGGAAAACCGCGTGTTAAACTCATCCACTAATATAAAATGTTAGTTAAAAATATCACAAAATTGCCACAACCGGAATACTTTCTTATTTCTTAGTATTAAGGAATTTGTGTTACAATAGTTATTAAATAGGAAAATATATTTTCTGTCGCACACACATTTTACTGTAACAAAAATTTGGAACTGTGAATGTTAAACTTTTCTGAAACTAGCTACACTAAAAATATCACCTGCCAGTATTCCCACGGTGTCTATGTTAAAGGCAGTTTTGCGGCCTGCATTTTTTTATTTCAGTTCGTAACTGGCCTAGAACCTTGCAAACATCAGTAATATTTTACGTTATTTTGTAAAAAAAATAGTCTATTCGTGTATAAAAGTTTCGTTGAGTAAAAAAAATGAAAATCTAAAACGTGCGTTATGTTATTACGTTTCAAGTTGTTTTGCGAATTGGTTTTGGTGTCAAATTGGATCTCTCCGAGAAATATGAGGTAATTATTACGTATTATAATAGTTTCCAGCTCATACAATTATTATATTTGAATTCCATTCACCATTAATTCCCTAATGATAAGTGTATTACTTAATGGTAGAAAAACCATTTTAATTACGAGACAACTAGTGTTGTGAACAGTTATATACAATAAAAGGTGTTGTACATACTGGTGGTAGAAATACTTATTACCTATTACTTATTTCTGCTACAGCAGTGTGTGCACTACTGAATTCCGGTATGTAGGGTAGCATTTCACCCCTCAGTCATCAGTCATCAGTCCTCAGAGGTGACAACGCATCTGAAGCCTTTTTTGTTTGAAGTTGGAAGGAAGATATTCATGAATAGCCGCTTACCATTAAGTGGACTGTAAGTTGACTTCTGTTAGTTTGGTTTTCAGTTTTCTTTTAAATGCAATCTTGTCTGTGCTTATTATAATTGTTACTAGTTGGGAGACATTACCTTTTCGTAGTTGGTGCAATGAATTTCACTCTGTATTCACTTCGGAGTTTTATTGAGTAAATATAAAACTATGGTAATATGTTTTATAATCCACGACAATATTGTGAGCAACTAATGTAGGTATATAAGTGTGCGTGTGTACGGGAATTCACACGAACACTTATACATATTTGTTTGCATTTCTCTTTGTTACCACGCCAGTATAATCAATATGCTCAAACAATACTATGTATACGATGTGTATTTCAAAGGCAGTAATGTTGATTTACTTTAAAGTTTTCGCACGCTTACAAAACAAAACTTACACGAAGGGTTACGCTCTTGGATGGTTATTTTGCTTAGGAGTATGTCTGAGGTTCCACCTTCTTACCGATTTCTAGCGGGAAATAGCACTTCCAGCACTGCTGTGTTAAGTTCGGAAGGGAATAGAGAGTTAGTATAATTACAGGCTGACTGCCTCGTTGGTCTAGTGGTTGTAGTAGTGCGACTCCTGATCGTGAGGTCCTAGGTTCGAATCACGGGTGACGGGCCAAAAATTTAATTATGAATTTTTCCGTCTAGAAATTCTCAGTAGCTGCCCGGACTCAGGAAGTTGGCGGTGTCTCACCACCATGCCTCGGAAAGCACGTAAAGCCTTTGGTCCTGCGCTTGATCTCTTTCCGGTCATGTCGGTTTACCGTCCAATCGGATTATGAGAGTGAGGGAATAGAGAGTGCACAAAGAGCTTTCGTCTTTTGTTGTGTGGATGATATTATATATGGGATATTTACACTATATTGTCATATTATGATCAAAAACGTATAGTATTAGGTAAAATTTTAACGTCCTTAAAACATAGCATACACTAAGCATCCCATAATTTAATACAATTGCTCAATCACACTAGCAGTACTGCATTGTTAGAGATATTGACATTCACAGCCATTCGAGTAAATGGTAATTACGCAAATATATAGGAGAAGCCCGGGCAAGACTCATATGTTAAGAGACAGTGTAAATAAAACAACAATCCGTTAATCAATAGAAGTCTTTGTAATTTTTATTTGTACTGTTATGTTATGTTACATTAGTTCATATCGGCTTTCGTATGCTTAATAGAAGTAATTGCCAACTCAACTTGTAAAGTAGGAGTTGGCAATTAGTATTGAATCCTAATCTAATGCTGGTACTTCTGTGCACAATTGACAATAGAAATATGGTTTCGGGTTTTATTTTGTGGTTTTGCTGACGAATTTTTAGATTTAGTTTTACTGTGGCTTGTCAACTCAGAAATCTTTATCTTCTTAATATTCGCCTTCTCATATATTAACGCTTGCCCACTTTTGAAGTGATCGGACGTAAATATCTCCGTTTTGCCGAATGCGTCAATATCAGACACAAGTCAGTATTATAAATATTGTTAATTGATAAATAATAAGTTGCAAATAAAACCTAAATAAACTTGAATAAAATTAAAACAACAAAATAAACAAAATATACTTATATGTAACTCATGTGTAATACAAAAAGATATAAAGCTATAAAAATATAAAGATATAAAGCTTCACTAAAATATAGTAAAAAACAACTAAAATCTTTTTTCCCCTCTCTATAACAAATTCTATTGGGCATTGTTTTGGTTGAATTATCATGGAGTCACCAGTCACACGTATCACGACTTCGGAGAGATGCTTCTTGCCTAAGTTTCCTATCCAACTTCTTCTTATCGTGTAGCGTAGCGGATAGTAACCGTAGCACAATCTCGCCTCAAACTTCATATCCACGCGCCCTAGCCAAGTGCGATTTCCGCCAGCATTAGAAATGGTTTACTGTGTTTTAAGTGGTGATTTCCACATGTTCGGCAGTAAAAAAACTACTGTAATGCAGGTCTGAGAATTGTTTCTAGGGCTGAGATGAAATTCCTTGTTTCCAGTAAAAAGGGTTCCCGGATCTCTACACACACCATACCAAACAGAGCATAATGCTGTTATTTTACGCTGGTATTGATGCGGTGGTATGGTATGGTCCTATCCCGGTCGAGCCGACACATTCACGCTTCAACTATTATATAGCTGCAGCGTGGCTCTATCATGTAAAGCTGTTGCATGGCTCCAATAGCTAAAAAGAAGTCTAGTCGCGGGTGCCAATTATAAAAAGCAAAAATCTAATTATAAAAATCAAAGGAAGCAATGATGTTATTGGACTCTTTATAGGTCGTGTAGTTGAAATGTAGAACTCAAAGTTCGTTGGGTAATGTGTTCTCTTACGCCATCATGACAAAAAAAAACTTGTTAATTAATTAATTATATTTGTCCCCTAGGCGATATACCGTGGCGGCGAGCGGGAGAGGCCGTACTCGTCGGGAGGAGCGCCGCCGCCGCCGGCTGAGCCCGCCACGCGCACCGTCACCATGAGCCGCGACCCAGCTGATTCACATGGCTTCGGCATATGCGTCAAAGGCGGAAAAGAAGCAGGTAGATAGACAGTTCTAGTTTTGTTATTGACAATGAATACTTGTTGGTTGCGCGGAAAACCATTCGTATTTGACGGTAGGCTGCTAAATCGGTTATCCCATTCCAAAACGATATCATTCATACCCTCCTATCGACACATCGGGGTGGTGGGGTGGGGGGGGAAAGAGGATGATTCTAGAATATCACGTAATCATCGCAACCGAAGATATAAAAGGCACGCGCGACCGACGCGCGCTCTTCCCGCCGCGCTCGTTGTTGAAACCACACCACTAGTAGAACCGCTTTAGCCTGGAAGCAGTCGAGCTCCAGGAAACCCGCCTCACCTCGTGTGAGATATAGTCGCGCACCGCCTCTCTCCGGAGTGTTCTAGAAGAAGTTCCAGAAGTCGCAGCTATAGCGCTCGACCGAATAGAAGAAACCCCGGTGAGTCAATATTCCTAATAATATATCCTGCTTGATATAACTGTGTTTTAACCCTCTCCAATTTTGTTTTCTCCTAATCAAGCAGGATTCCTTTCATCGATTTGGTAAATAATAGTTCGTTTTTAGGGAAGAGCGAGTGCATTGTACCGCATGCTATAGTTGCCGTTTATATAAGTGTAGAAACATTTTGTAGATACAGTCCACTTAGATTAATAGCTCGCGTAATAGGTTTAGGGTTCGACCGAGGAATTAGACTTCGGCAACCTTAAGCACAACGCTCCACCATTTTATGGTCACTTCGACAGGATTTGGACTGGTGTTTAGTAGTCGTTCAACAATTTTCTGGTCGAATTATTAGATTAATTATTTAGATAATGCACTCTAGTTTATGGAATAGTCTTAAATAGTGTTCGTTTAAATTTAAATTTTGGTGAGGTACTCGCAAACAGAATTATTCATTTAAATAGTGTTTGTATTTGGTTTAAATTTAAAGCTTATTAAATTAGTCGCTTAAATAATTGAAACAGTGTAATAGCAATCGTTTTGTACGCGTACCCGACAATTTTGATAAAATTATATTGAGTCTAGCGAGCGACACGCGTCACCTCGACTCGCTGTAACAGGTGTTCGATTTAATTACGTAATACAGCATACGAGTGTCCATCCTTCATTATTTGTGCGTTGTGAGATTAATTGTGATTAATATAACTTTATTACAATAATTTAAAATGGCAGTTAGTGGAAATGAAATTAAAATTAAAACGCTTTATGCCAAGAGGGACATACTTTTTTCACGTATACAAAGTATTAGTGATCACATAAAGAACATCAATATAGAAGCAGTGCAGGAAACTTTTTTGAATGAAATTGAAACGGTAGATTCTTTGCGGACGGATTACGAAAGAATATTAGACCGAATTAATCATTTGGAATTACAAATCGACCCGAAATACATAGTGAACTACCAACCGCTTCTAGCATTTGAAGATATTGTTGTGTCGCGTGAAAAGAACGGAGAAACTCTTACAATCTCAAAACGAAGCAAAGCCGGAAATACAGGTACGTCCACTTGACTCAATTAGGTTGCCGCCAATAGATATTCCGGTATTCAATGGTGATATTAAGACATAGCCCTTCTTCTTCAGTAGTTTTCAAAACAATATACACAATAACCCATCGTTATCGGACGCTGAAAAATTATATTATTTAATTAGTAAACTTAGTGGCAGAGCACAGTCAATTTGCTCTGGTTTTACACCTACAGCAAACAATTACTTGTTAATATTCGAAACGCTTAAAACTAAATATGAAGATAGGAGAATGTTAGCTTCCGAATATTTGAACCAGATATTCGATCTTAAACCTATATCATCCGCGAACATCAACGGCTTAGAGCAGTTTTTAGATAAATTTGTGGTATCGGTGGCTGCACTTAAGAATTTGAAATTTAATGACCTTATGGACGTGGTGTTTCTCCATATTGCACTAAAGAAATTAGGACCGTGCGTGCGTTTAAAATGGAGCATCGTAGCTCGGAGATGCCTTCCTTTCATTCATTAGCATCGTTCGTGCGAGATCAAATAAAGGTGATGCAGCGCTCTCCGAACGTTAAACAGGAGATTAAAAGGTGCGTCGACCGTAGACAGACTCAACCATCTAAAATAGCAGGGTCGTTAACTTACGTAACCGCTACGTCAACATCACTTCAGCATACTTGTATCGTATGTAAAGATAAACACGGTAACTTATATAATTGTGCGACTTTTCGTAAATATTCACCAAGCGAACGTTATAAATTAGTAAAGACAAACAACCTATGTCTGAACTGCTTAAGTGATAAGCATTTAGTTGCAAAATGCAATTCGAGTTTCGTATGTAGCTTAAGTGCGCCAGGAAACATCACACGCTATTACATTTTGAAAATAGCAACATAGCGGCGTCAAGTAAAGCGGACAAGGAATTCACCCCTACTAAAGTCAACGATTCTAGCGGTCGACCTGGTGATGTCGCTCTGTGCTCATTGTCAAATATGGGAGCACAACCTCCTTCAACCGTGTTATTGGGTACGGCGCGTATTTTGTTAGGGATTCGGTGGAGAACAAAGGTGGCGTGACAGCGGAGCCCAAAATAGCTTTATAACGCGACAATGTTGTCAGCGCTTAGGCTTAGTAATAAATAGGTCACTTTCATGACCTGTAGTCAAAGGCATCGGAGGTACTAGTAAAGCTCGGAAAGGAGCTGGGGAGTAAAGCTACCCAGGGACCTATAAATTTAAAATTTTATTCTCGGATAGATCGTAATGTTAACTTTGATATAAATGCACTAGTAGTGGATAGGGTCACTGAACGGTTGCCAACCGTTTCGGTTGACACCTCGGCAATGATTGAACTTAAAAATTTGACTCTAGCGGACGACACTTACGCCGTTCCTGGAAACATAGACATGCTCATTAGAGCATCGCTTTTCCCTCATCTTTTGTTAAACAATGGGCAACTCCTCGCATACCGCGCCTTACGCACTGGAAACCGTATTGGGCTACGTTATCGTTGGCTCCGCCCCCATCATAGATAGTATTTCGGCAACCTCTTATTGTGGTATGGCTGTCGAACCGCTCGAGTCGTTAGTCCGCAAATTTTGGGAGATGGAGGAGGTGAACGTCCCACCCATAGCTAGCTCAGATGACAGATTATGCGAGGAAATTTACGTCCGCACGACCGTTCGTGATCGCGACGGTAGATATAGTGTAGCGCTACCCTTTAAAGGAGATGTTTTTATCTCTCGGCGATTCGCGTCAAATGGCGGAAAAACGTTTCTACAGCTTGGAGGTAGGATGCTCGCTTCACCCCAGTTAAAGGAAGCTAATGACGGCGTCATTAACGAATATATAAGAGAAGGTTACATATCACTCGTGGCTTCGAAATTAGATAACTACGAAGACACACCGTCGTATTTCATACCACACCACGGGGTCATTAGGGAGGACAAACTTACATCTAAGTTACGTGTAGTGCTCGACGCTAGTGCTAAAACTAGCACTCACCTGTCGCTTAACGATATTCTCTATAGTGGGCAAAATTTACAGGGCAGTTTATTTGATATAATAGCCAATTTTCGTTTGTTTAGTATAGCACTATCCGCCGATATTCGCCAAATGTTTCTTTGCATAGGGGTCCGTGAATGCGACCGTAGATTCCAACGCATTTTATATCGTTTCAACCCAAAGGAACCTCTAATGGTGTTTGAATTTAACCGCGTTTGTTTTGGTTTAAAGTCGAGCCCATTTCATGCGTTACGTACGGTGAGACAGCTCGCCCACGATGAAGGTCCCTCTTACCCTAAAGCTAAGAGGGCAATTGAGAGCGGTTTATATATGGATGATTTTGTAAACTCGGTCGATAGCGTGGAGGAGGCTACCCTAACCACCGCCGAGGTTATAAAGCTCATGAAATCGGGTCAATTCGATCTTGTCAAGTGGACTAGTAATTCGCGTCCAGTTTTAGATACAATCCCACTATCACACCGTCTTTCGGCGATAAAGAAATTCGACGATTCTGATACACACAAGGTGCTCGGTCTGTGTTGGTCACCAGAGTCCGACGTGTTTAGCCTTAAGGTAAATCCGCCCGTAGAGAAATGCACAAAGCGCACAATACTGTCATGCGTTGCTGGATTATAGGACGTCATGGGTTTCGTAGCTCCGATGGTATTATACGCTAAGCTTTTGATTAAACAACTTTGGTTATTTGAATGCGATTGGAATGATTCGCCGCCTGACAGCATTGTTCGGTTGTGGCAGCATTTTAGAGAGAAACTTCCTTCACTAAGAGAAATTAAAATACCGCGTCATATAAACGTCGATAGAAATAGCGTCATAACGGTCGTTGGGTTTGCAGACGCCAGCGAGAAGGCTTACGGGGGCGTTGTATATTTCCACGTTCAGAATAATGGTAGAAATTCGATTAGCCTCATTAGTTCTAAGTCGAGAGTCTCCCCCCGTAAGGTTGTCTCTCTGGCGCGCTTAGAGCTTTGCGCAATATTAGTACTCACCAAGCTTATTACCGCAGTTATCAGCGCATGTAGGGATAGAGTTCACATAGAAAGGATATTTGCCTTTTCCGACTCCTATGTCGACGACAACTATGCCGAGTCGCTAGTATTACGTGAACTTCAACGTGCACACTTCTCTGAAGAAATTACAATATTACAATCGAATAGAGCTTGTAGTCGCGCCTTTCAACGCCTTAAGCCATATTTACAGGATGGGATTGTAAGGGTAGGTGGACGCTTGTCTAACTCGCAGTTGAGTTTCGACCAACGGCACCCTATAGTTTTACCGCGCAAAGACCATATCATGAATTTATTAGTCGATTACCATCATAAATTTAATTCGCACGCTGGCCCCGACTTGCTGATGTCGATCTTGCGTCAGAATTATTGGATTCTTTCAGCACGTAGTTTAATACGCAATCGGGTGCACAGATGTATAGCTTGCTTTCGGGCACGCCCCAAGCCGTCATTTCCGGAAATGGCGGAACTTAGATCTTGTAGAGTAATACAATCAGTAAAGCCCTTTACGC